AACTTCCAGTTCTGGAAAGTCCAATGCCCTCCTCGAGGGTCTGCAGGTCCCTGACCACACATGGTGCACATACATATATTCAAGCATACACATGCATTTATAATAATAAACAAAAAATTATTTTTGAAAAGAAGATAATGTCCACTATATAACTGGAAAAAGAAAAGAGTGGACAGTGGGTAGTAAAATGCATCAGACTGAAAGACTCTACCTAGCAGTGTGTCAAAGCAGACACTAAGACTCATGACCAAACCCTCGGCAGAGTGCAGGGAATCATAGGAAAGAAGGGGAGTTAGTATGACGTGGAGAGGATAGGAGCTCTACAAGGACCAAATATATCTGGGCACAGGGGTCTTTTCTGAGACTGACACTCCACCAAGGACCATGTATGGATATAACCTAGAACCTCGGCTCGGATGAACCCCGTGGTAGCTCAGTAACCAATTTGGTTTCCCATAGTAAGGGGAACAGAGACTATTTCTGACAGGAACTCAATGGCAGGCTCTTTGACCTCCCCACCCCTTACGGAAGGAGCAGTCCTGCTAGGCCACAGAGGAGGACTTTGAAGCCAGTCCTGAAGATACCTGATAAAACAGGGTCAGATGAAAGGGGAGGAGGTCCTTCTCAATCAGTGGACTTGGAAAGGGGCAGGGAGGAGATGAGGGAGGGTTTGAGAAGGAATGAGGGACCAGGATACAGCTGGAATATAGAGTTAATAAAAGATAACTAGATAAAATATAAATAAATAAATAAACAGTAAAAAAAATTTAAAAAATGCATCAGACTATGTTCCTGGACATGATGACTCAGAGAAGAAAGGAAAAATAAATTGATTTCTTAGAGGGAATTTTATCTTTGACAGTGGGGCCATTGTACATTCTGCAAATTTATTTTTTAATTCATTTGTTTTTTTATAAATTACAGCTTATTCATTTTGTATTCCATCTGTAGCCTCCTTCCTCATCCCCTCCCAATCCCACTCTCCTTCCCTCATCTCTTTCCATGCCCCTTCCTAAGTCCACTGATAGGGGAAGTTCTCCTCCCCTTTCCTCTGACCTTAGCCTATCAGGTCTTATCAGGACTGGCTGCATTGTCTTCTTCTGTAGCCTGGTAAGGCTGTTCTCCCCTCAGGGGGAAGTGATCAAAGAGCCAGTCACTGAGGTCATGTCAGAGATAGTCCCTGATCCTATTACTAGAGAACCCCTTGGACACTGAACTGCCATGGACTACACCTGAGCAGGGGTTCTAGGTTATCTCCATGAATAGTCCTTGGCTGGAGTATCAGTCTCAGAAAAGACCCCCAGGCACAGATTTTTTGGTTCTGTTGCTCTCCTTGTGGCGCTCCTGTCCCCTTAAGGTCTTTTTATTTCCCCCTTCTTTCATAAGATTCCCTGCACTCTGCCCAAAGTTTGCTATGAGTCTCAGCATCTGCTTTAATACCTTGCTGGGAAGAGTCTTTCAATGGCCCTCTGTGGTAGGCTCCTGTTCTCTGTCCTGTTCTCTGTCTTCTCCCTCTTCCAATGACCATCCCATTTGCCTGAATAGTGCTTCCTCAAGATCCAGCTATAGATCCAAAATATGCTCAAGTACACAACAAGGACATTTGCTCAACCATGTTCATAGCAGCTTTATTTGTAATAGCCAGAATCTGGAAACAACCCAGATGCCCCTCAACTGAGGAATGGATACAGAATTGTGGCACATTTACACAATGGAATATTACTCAGCAATTAAAAACAAAGAAATCATGACATTTACAGGCAAATGGTGGGAAATGGAAAAGATCATCCTGAGTGAGATATCCCAGAAGCAGAAAGACACACATGGTATGTACTCACCTATAAGTGGGTACTAGACCTATAAGATAGGATAAACATACTAAAATCCGTACACCTAAAGAAGCCAAGCAAGAAGGAGGACCCTGGGTAAGATGATCAATCTGCATTCTGCAAATCTAAAGGGAACTAATTGGGCCAGAATTCAAGGGGAAAATAGGAACTACATCGTCAATGAAGAGTGAGGCCCAATCAGAAATCTCCCATGTGGAAGATGTGTGTCTAGGTCAGCATTCCAAGGTTATAGAGAGACAGTGAATGGCAGCTAGTGTGATCAGCACTGAACTTTGATTGGATGGTGCTATGACACCAACACATCTGATGGCGAGAGTGCATGTTACACAAGCCTGCCAATCTGCTGCAGTCTGCATCTTCTAGTAGGTCATTCTGAACTCTCACTTTATTTGAAATAATTTGACCATGAACATCTTCTGTTAAATCGCCATTTGTACATTTACATGAGTCAATTTCTAAAATTGAGGTTTCTTGGCTACTTCAGAAGGGGTGTGTGTGTGTGTGTGTGTGTTTGTGGGTCACACACAGTTTAATAAACATCCTCACATTTTCTTATTCTTATCGCTAATATTGTGTGTTCTTTTAAATTTTATTTATTGGTTCTTATTGACAGTACATGAAAGGAGGAAATGATTTGGTTGCAATAGTGAACCTTGCAAATGTATTTTCCACCCTAAAACCAAATCAGTAGCAGAGCACAATTTTATGCATGTGTATGTATGTGCGTGTACACGTGTGGGGATCACATATGTGAGTGTGCATATGGAGGCCAAAGGACAATCAGTACCTTCCTCGGAGATGCTGTCTACCTCCTTTTGAGAAAGGCTCTCTCATTAGCCTGGGGCTTGCCAGTTAGGCTAGGCTGACTATCCAGAGAGTCCCAGAGATCCTTGTCTTGCTGTCTCTGTGGTGCTGTGCTGACAAGGGTGAAGCATGTACAACATTTTATTTACCAATTAAGGATAATAAGTGTTTTTATTAGTTCCTTGAGAATTTTGTAAAGTACGTTTTCATAACCTCATCATCAACTCCTCCCAGATCCACCCACCCAGCTTTGTCTCTTTTTTTTTTTCCCCCCCCACTGATCAAGTCCAACTTCACATACAACATTTTAATGCAGGTTCTAGGGATAGAATCTCTGGGGTGCAAACATTTTAGCAACCGCCACCCTCTCCGATTTGTTCTGCATCTGTGCAAACCCAGACAGCAGTACAAAACTACTAACTTGATTTTCCCAAGAAATACATCTTTACCACTCTGTAACTTGCTTAAAGGAAGGGAAGGGCATGTGTGTTGCTTAACTAGGACAGCCACAATTGTCACAGACAGGGTGGCTTGAACGCAAGCACTTCTGGCAGCTCTGGTTCCAGCAGGCTGAGATTGGGGGGATTCAGTCTGCCTTTTGCTGAGGCATTTCTCCTTGGCTTCCGAGTGGGTGGCTACCTTTTCACCAAGTCACCACACAGTATTTCTTCTGCATTCCTGTCTCCTTTTCTTCCCATGACGGTACCAGTTATTTGGCTGGGAGCCCCCTCTAATGGTCTCCTTAAATGCTTTCCCTGTGAATACAGTTATATTATCAGATACTTTTCATTGAAACTTCATTTGGCAATTTGGTGGTGGGGGCACATAATACTAAAGTTTAGTATACAAGATCTCAAAGTAGGGAGACAGCCCTAGGCAAAATTTAACTTAACCGAAAATATATTTGATAAAGTTCCAAAGACAAATACAGTCAACAGTTGCCCGTTGTAGACTGAAGTCAAAGGGGAAGGCATCCCCCCATGGCTAGGGAAGGACCTGAAGTGCCAGCAGCAGAAGCTGTTTTGCAGTGTTGACCCTTCTTGGCAGAACAGAGGATGGAGTGACGGAAAGACCATCCCGTGTATACAGAAAAGCAGAGAACAGAGTTTAGCCAAGCCAACTGTCAGGAAAATGAAAATAAAAATAAAAACACAAAATGATGGACAACTTGTCAGCAAGGTCCTGGGGAAGATGCTATTCCTTTATAAAGGAAATGAAGCTCGCTTGACAGGACAAAGGGATTGCTGTGAAAATTCAATATGATATTTATGAGAATAAGCACTGCTTTTAAATAAGCAAGCACATGGCGATTAAAAAATAAACACATAATTTTATAAATCTTAATGCTTAAATATATGGCTAGTGGTAGCCCCAAATATCTAAAGCCTCTTTTTAAATATTCTTATTTCTCTCGCTGTCCCCTTCCTTTCCTTCGAGAAACTAAAGCAAACAACACATCATGGAAGTAAAAGCAATATACTGCTATGGAAAGCTGTGCTCAAGCTGACACACTAACCTGCTCTTCTACCTTCATTATTCTGACCCTCACCCCGACCCCACTTGGGGCAAAAATTCAGGCAGTATCCACTCTATAACTTTAACTTTCCAGATTAGTTTCACAGCCATGTTTTCTGCCCGGTAACAATAACCCTGAACCAGATTTCTATGCATAGTCTCAGGCCAAAATGCCTAGTCTAACCTTCCAGCAGACTCCTACAGGTGCACAGCCAGTGTTGGCCACGAGGCGGCAGGCCCTACTGCCCGAGCTAGGGGGTGCGAACCGCGCAGTGAAGCCCTGATGCGGCACCGAGCCAGCTGGAGCCAGGTTCCGGATCTGGCGGTGGAGCTGTTAGGTGATGTTCGCTCTGAATATGATTAACTGAAGATCTGGAGTTTAGTTTCCACCACTTTGGTCTGTCAACAGCTTTGCGGAGATTCCTCTCTCCAGGTAGGGTGGGGTCGAGAATCGGGCAGGTCTTCGCCAGCCTAATCAAAGTGAGACTCGCGTCACGTGGATCATCGTTCCCTCCGGGTGCGGCCGAGCGGCCTGGATTCTGGAATAGTACAGCTTTTAGAAGGCCGCCCCTCCAGAAAACCCTACAAGTAACCAACCCAGTTCCCGGGACAGCCCTGCCCATAACCAGCCCAGTTGGCGGGATAGCCCTGCCCCTGGAAAAGATCCGCCCCTGAGAAGTTCCGCCCCCGAGACTCAAGTTGGCCTGCTAGAAAGCCCTTTACTCTGACAACCTTCTTCCATGATGGCCCCGCCCCTGGAGGCCCCGCCCCCTGAAGGCCCCGCCCCCGGGCATACCCTCATTCAAGCAGCGCCCACTCGTCTGCTTGCTACGCTCAGCAGGCAACCTCCTTGGTACGAGTTTTCCGGCCCGGGTTTGTGACCGGTTGGGGCTGGGTGTCTGAGCGCTAGAACGAAGCTGCGGGGGAACCCTCCTCAAAGTGCCAGAAAGCTACCGGACGCCATTCCCGACAGTCAGTGTGTCTTCTTACAGGTCTGTTTTTTTTTCAGTTTCTTTTGACTGGTACACTTTTCTTGTTAACTCGGAACTCATTTATCTCCTTTCTTTGAACTTGAGTCACGAGTTTGATAAAGATGTGTGTTTGCGTGTGCAAGCCCATTTAGTTACAGTGTGGTGGGACTGTCGTACCGGGACATATTACCCACGTGGTTTTTGTTTGCTTTTTTTGTGCCAAGCTGGGGAAAAGTGAGGACTTTCTTCTCAAACGAACTGATGTATCTGCTGCCTTTTTCCACCTCTAAGCGGAACTTCACACAATTCACTTTCTTGGGAGCAGCGTTAGGAAGTGGGACGGGAAGTGGAGGTGGTGAGGCAAGTGCAGACCTGCCAAGGCCAACAGACATGTCATCTCACAGAAGTGGCTGAAACCTAAGGGTTGTGCAGGACTCTTAGGCAATGATGCTGAAGGTGGGAATGCATTCATTCTTTCTTTCTTTAAATTCACTTTACACTTTGTTGTAGGCCCACCCCTCATCCCCTCCTAATCTCACCTACCCTTCCTCCTCCCCCCTTTTTCTCAGAAAAGGGGAGCTCCCTTTTCCATCCACCCCCATTCATCAAGTTGCATCAGGACTGAGCTTGTCCTCTTCCCCTGTGGCCTGGCAAGGCAGGCCCTCCACGGGAAACTGATCAAAAAGCTGGCAAGTGAGTCCATGTCCAATGCTGTCCCCACTTCCTTCCCTAGAGGACCCACAAGAGGCCTAAGCTGCCCATATGCTACAACTTTGTAGGGGGTCTAGGCCTAGTTCATGCATGGTCCTTGGTTGATGTTTCAGTCTCAGCAAGCTGCTCTGGGCCCTGGATAGTTGGCTCTGTTGGTCTTCTTGTGGAGCTCCTGTCACCTCCAGGTCCTTTTCTCTTTCCTCTCACTTTTCCACAAGATGCCCAATTCACCACCCAATGTTTGGCTGTGAGTCTTAGCATCTGTTTTGAGGTGATGCTGGGTAGAGTCTCTCAGAAGACAACTCTGTCAGGGTCCCCTCTGCAAATTTAACAGAGCATCATTCACAGTGTTAGGGGTCTTTCGTTGGGCCAAGCATTGGTTGGGCATTCCCTCAATCTCTGTCTGCTCTATCTTTATCTCTGCACATCTTGTAGGCAGTTTTTGTGGGTGGGTTGGTGTTTCACTCCCTTCCTCCCTCTACTAGGAGGCTTGTTTAATAGAGGGTGTGCTTTTCAGTCTCTATGGACTCTGCTACTAGGAGTCTCTGCTTGAGTCCCCTTCATAGCCACCCAGGAGCTCACCCTGACTTAGGTCTACAGTTTATCACAGAGATAACTTCACCTTCAGTTACTCTTTCTCTACAGTCCTTCTGTCCTTGCTCTCCCCAGGTCTGTTCTCCACCCTCTTAACTCTCTGTATCTCCTCTCCTACCTCTGCAGCCACTAACTCTGTCTTTTCCATTCTGAGTGAGATTTATGCATTCTCCCTTGGATCCTCTGTGTTACCTGTCTTCTTTTAGTTTGTGGCTCCTAGTATGCTTATCCTGTCCTATATGGCTAATCACCCAAAAAACACTTAAAGAAATCTTCAGCATCCTTAGTCATCAGGGAAATGCAAATCAAAACAACTCTGAGATCCCATCTCACACCCATCAGAATGGCTAAGATCAAAATATCAAGGGACAGCACATGCTGGCAAAGGGGAACATTCCTCCTTTGATGGTGGGGGCGTACACTTTTACAACTACTTTGGAAATCAGTCTGGTGCTTTCTTAGACTATTTGAAATAGCTTTACTTCAAGGTCCAGCTATATCTGTCCTGAGTATATACCCATAAGACACTCCACCATACAAAGACACTTGCTCAACTATGATCATAGCAGTGTTATTTGTAATAGCCAGAATTTGGAAACAACCTAGATGTCCCTCAACCAAAGAATGGATAAAGAAATTGTGGCACATTTACACAAAGGAATACTACTCCATTATTTAAAACAAAGAAATCATGAAATTTGCAAATGGATGGAGCTAGAAAAGATCATCCTGACTAAGGTAACCCAGACCCTGAAAGACACACATGGTATATACTCACTTATAAATGGGAATGCATTCTTCAGACCCAGGCCAGGTCAACTCAATCTGGTTATGGCCATGAGCTAAGTTGATTGGCCTCTAAGGACAGATGAGAGGAGACATGCAACATGAGCTGTTAACAGTTCATGGGAACAGGAGGAACAAAGGAGACAGGAGGAACATAAGGAGTCTGATATGTCTAGGTTCTCCCCAGAAACTTATTTGGGAAGAGACCCTAAAAAGCCAATTGAAGAAAATGGGAGAAACAAAAAACGAAAGAAGGAGCCCAACAAGGATGAGTGCTGGCTGTCTAGCTTCAGAGCTCAGCCCTTCCAGGGAATGTGTAGGATGCACCCGAGGCAGGCACTGGACCTGTGTCCATGGCTCCCTCCAGCACCTGAAGCTAACTTAGGACATCAGCTCACAGCCATTGGAGGGCTGCCTGTCAGTCATGAATGTACAGGAGGTCCCCCATGGAGAGCTACTCAGATGTGGGAGTAGAGGAGATGTGTAGAGCACCTGCCACCCTCAGGGAAAGGAGAAGAGGAAGAAGAGAGGGAAGCAGCACACACACCTGCACCGTTGCATAGTCTAATTTGTAAAACAATGGTCTTCAGGCCAGGGGGATTGGTCAGGTGGGACCTCTGAAAGAGATCCTCCAGTAAGTTCAGCTGTCAGCCTATCAGGCTTCAGAAGAATTAGAAAAGATCCCTGGCCAGATAGTAAAAAGCAGGAGCCTTCCCACTAGGGCAGATTTGATCATTTTGAAGCCCTTTCCAACAATGTATGCAAGACTGCCCGAATTAATGCAGTTTCTGAAAAGTCATGTGGCCTTAACTAATGCATTTTCTAGCAGGTCATGTGACACTTTTGTCTGAAAGACTGAAACAAACACTAAGTCAACCAGATCCTGTTCCTCTCTGCCCTTGGCTCTACTACTACACTAGTGTGCTTCTTACCAAAATAAATACTCTTCCCACAGCATTTCAGGTTTCAGCTTCAAGGCCTCCTTCTGGCCAAGTATTTCCTGTTATACAGTTTAAAGCAGTCTTTCTGTTGACTGGTCTGTATTCCATCATCAATAGCTACTGGAAATTGCTGCATTTGTATTTAATTGTAAGACTACTAATTTATTGTCCCTACTCTTCTTTTTTTTTAACTTTTATTAATTACACTTTATTCATTTTGTATCGCCCCATAAGCCCCTCCCTCCTCCCCTCCCGGTCCCACCCTCACCCCCTTTCTGCATGCATGCCCCTCCCCAAGTCCACTGATAGGGGAGGTCCTCATCTCCTTATTTCTGATCTTAGTCTATCAGTTCTCATCAGAAGTGGCTGCATTGTCAGGGTTCTAGGTTATCTCCATGAATAGTCCTTGGTTGGAGTATGAGTCTCGGGGAAGTTCCCTGTGTTCAAATTTTCTTGTTCTGTTGCTCTCCTTGTGGAGTTCCTGTCCTCTCCAGCTCTTACTATTTCCCACTTCTTACATAAAATTCCATTCACTCTGCCCATCAGTTGGCCATCAGGCTCAGCATCTGCTTTGACAGTCTATACTGCAGAAGCTTTCAGAGGCCCTCTGTGGCAGGTTCCAAGGTTGTTTCCTGTTTTCTTCTTCTGGCTTTCAGAGGCCCTCTGTAGCAGGTTCCTAGGTTGTTTCCTGTTTTCTTTTTCTTCTGATGTCCATCCTCTTTGCCTTTCAGGATGGGGATTGAACATTTTAGTTAGGGTCTTCACTTTTGCTTAGTTTGTTTAGAGGTACAGATTTTAGTGGGTTTATTCTATGTTGTATGCTTATATGAGTGAGTATATCCCATGTGTGTCTTTTTGCTTCTGGGACAACTCACTCAGGATGATCCTTTCCAGGTCCCACCATTTACCTGCAAATTTTATGATTTCCTTATTTTTAATTGCTGAGTAATACTCCATTGTATAGATGTACCACAGTTTCTGCATCCATTCTTCAGTTGAGGGGCATCAGGGCTGTTTCCAGCTTCTGGCTATTACAAATAAAGCTGCTACAAACATGGTTGAGCAAATGTCCTTTTTGTGTACTTGAGCCTCTTTTGGGTATATGCCTAGGAGTGGTATGGCTGGATCTTAAGGAAGCGCTATTCCTAGTTGTCTGAGAAAGCGCCAGATTGATTTCCAGAGTGGTTGTACAAGTTTACATTCCCACCAGCAGTGGAGAAGGGTTCCCCTTTCTCCACAACCTCTCCAGCATGTGTTGTCCCTTGAGTTTTTCATCTTGGCCATTCTGATAGGTGTAAGGTGAAATCTCAGGGTCGTTTTGATTTGCATTTCCCTATTGGCTAATGAGGTTGAGCATTTCTTTAAATGCTTCTCTGCCATTCGATATTCCTCTACAGAGAATTTTCTGTTTAGCTCTGTTCCCCATTTTTTAAGTGGATTACTTGGTTTGCTGCTTTTCAGCTTCTTTAGTTCTTTGTATATACTGGATATGAGTCCTCTGTCAGATAAAGGGTTGGTGATGATTCTTTCCCAAACTGTAGGCAGTCTCTTTGTTTTGATGACAGAAGCTTTTCAGTTTCATGAGGTCCCATTTATTGATTGTTGCTCTTAGAGCCTGTGCTGTTGGTGTTCTGTTCAGGAAGTTCTCTCCTGTACCAATGAGTTCTAGGGTATTCCCCACTTTTTTTTCTAGCCGATTTAATGTGTCTGGTGTCCATAAGTGTGTGGGTTTATTTCTGGGTCTTCTGTTCGATTCCATTGATCCACCATTCTGTTTCTATGCCAGTACCATGCAGTTTTTATAACTGTTGCTCTATAGTACAGCTTAAGATCAGGGATGGAGATACCTCCAGAAGATCTTTTATTGTAGAGGATTGTTTTAGCAATTCTCGGTTTCTTGTTATTCCATACGAAGTTGAGAATTTTTCTTTGCAGGTCTGTAAAGAATTGTGTTGGCAATTTGATGGGAATTGCATTAAATCTATAGAT